ATGCTCTATGAATTTGAATATCAGTGCTGAATCCTATACTGCACAGCGGTTGCAGCAAGTGCTTTAGAACTGCTTTTTATGAGTTTTTTTTAAACCACAGCAGCCAGGCTTGATTGCAGGCAGCATCAAACCCACATGATTTCCAACTAAACTGGGTTCAAGGCTGCAGCAGACACTCAGAAATGAGGATTGGCTTATTATGCCCAGGCTTAACCACTGTCCAGAGCTTGCACAGTATTCGCTAGAGCTTCTGGCTTGCCCTGCAACCAGTGTGCTGAGAGGGCCTTCGGCACAGCAGGTAGTTTTGTTACAGAAAATCGAATCAGCCAGCCCCGAAACAGTGTAGGCTGGCTCACTTTTATTGATATGAACCATTCTAGGATTACAAATGACTACAGCAGCAATGCTGCTGATGCTATGCACTAAACTTTAAAGCGTCATCCAGCTTCTATGCAGTCTGTTTTCACATTTTATTAAACGTTTAAGGCAATGAAGGGTGGTACTGCGAAAAAAGTTCAAACCTCACTGTTAAATTGTTTTACAACTGGCCAATTTGTATGAAATTGTGCATATTAGCTTTTTTTTTTTTTTTTTTTTAAAGAGTAAACTTTCCTATAGCTTTTTGTTTTTACATCTATGGTACCTACCTTCCATTCTATTCAAGCCTGTTACTGCTGTATTAAAAAAAAAAAAAAAAAAAAATCAGATTGGAGTGTTGCTACTGTATTTATGCCAATCTAACTGTAAAAGTTAAAAATCAATTACACATCCACATGCGATGCCAGAATATGGGTCACTGTCAAAATCGTACTGTTTCATAACACCACATACAGTTGAAAGGTATCTCTCAATCATGTCAATTTCAGAGACTGGTGTTTTTACTGTTGCCCCAGGCTAAGTTTACATTTGCTGATTCTCTGAAAAGTGATCCTTCAGAGTGGGGCTAAGTAGTTTCTATCAGGCATTCAGAAGGTGATCCTCCTGTTTTTTCCCCCCTTCTTTTTTGCCCAATTTCAATTTTTAAAAGGACTAATGTGGGGCTAAATTTGCCTGCATGTAAACAGCCACTTCCAGCTGTATGGTAGGCTTTCGGAGGGAGCTCAACCATCTACGTTTACCCCCCTAACCACCTGACAGAGGTCTTAAAGTCACATTAAAAAAAAAAAAAAAAAAGGTCACTCTCTCCACTGTATGACATTGAAAAAACTTTTTTTTGCTTTGTTAAATGTCCCAATGGCAGTGCCATTCCTTTTTGACAATAATTTGCCTATTAGCCAATGAAGGTTCAGAAGAACATTATAGAAGTAATTTACATTATAGAAGTAATTTTGCCTGTATGCATTTTCCCTGCCCCTTTCTAGTCCAAGTGCTGTTGTAAAGGGGATTATCGAAGGCTGACACAGGTTTATATATATTTTTTTAATGAAATATACTGTATATCTTGAAACCTAGGATTCATTTTACACCATTTCAAACATCAATGCTTTTTCAGACCTTCTGGTCTAATAAAATCGCTCAAATTAGTTTAAGTAACAATCTGTTTTTGAATTAAGGATACAGTAGGTATTGACAAAAAGTAAAAACATGACAGTAGCTGATTCACCAGCACGCTACTGAAAGTAAAAATCAGAAAAAGAATAGTGCAAGAGCAAACAGTACCAGGATCCTAACTGGCTCTAAAGAAGTGGGTACTACCCTTGAAAAGCCAAACAGTTCAGATCCCTACACATTAATATTTGTATTCAACTAAAGCTAACATAGCAGCACCTAGCTCTTCCCCCCTACACAGGCTAGCTCAATCTCTTCAGAGTCATGTGACACAAATAACTTTGGCTGGATGCCCTAAGGCAACTCATGTTGCTCTCATGTCATCTTTAGTTGGATATAAAAAAGTATTGTATAGGGAGCTAAATTGTTTATCTCCAAACAAGGGAGTTTTAGCCTCAAAACGCGTATGCCAGTTAACATCTAGGTGGCACCCTTCAAGCATAGGAGCATGCATGGTGGATTGAGCAATTATGATGCTGATGTTTATAGCAAGGTTTGTGAGTGGATTCTATCTTGGTTTTAAAAACGGTTTAATGGGATAATGTCCTAGGCTGCTGCGCCTCCTCTCCTTTGTGGTTTTTCTAGTATGCTAATTAGGGCATCCCCAATCCTGAGAGGGCAGCAAGGGGTGATGCTTCCTTGGTTCCCATCAAGAAGCAGAGGACTGAAGACTGAGTGCCAAACCACCACACTCCTACACAGGTGTTTAGTGCTGCTCTAACGGGGCTTTAGCCCACTGTCAGTTGATTCTGGGTCAGAGGAGTGCAAAAGTAGGTGCACTCCTGAGACCCAGAGAAGACGTATGACCAAAAGAGATTTGGCCATACTTCTCTTTTAACATTCAATGTCCTATAAATACCACGTGCAGTGTTCTCTTTATCTTTCAATTTTTATGTATACAAAAAAAAAAAAAAAAAATTCTATTTATAGTGTCCTTTAATTATTGTGTGAAGAATATAAACTGAGCAGAAAAGTATGTTTTTCCACAGTAGCATACATTTAGACTCCATTCACACTCGTGCGACTTAAAAATGGTGCAATTTTCATTGCAACTTTGGCTTTGACCAAGGAGGATTGTTTATGCTGTACAAAGTCGCACACAAGTCACATGTAGAACATTCTGGTGAGACTTTCAAGGGTTTACAAGCTGCATGAAAGTCGGGCCAAAAGTAGTGCAGGAAATACTTTCTCAAGTCGCTGCAACTTGAAGTCATAAGATATGAATGATACTCATTGGGAAACATGGGGTGTGACTTGTTATGCGACTTTGGACCCCAAAAATATTTAGATTCTTCAACAACTAAACAATGCAATTCTTAAAAAAAAAAAAAAAAAAAAAAAAAAAAAAAAAAGTAGTGTTAGATTACTGTATGCAGTGAAATGTTTGATTATGTTATGATGTTTGGTTTAACTATCAGCAGTGATAGTAAAGGACCTGAATTCAAGTCATCCACAATCCTGCCCTTGCACAGCTTTAGGCTCTATGCACAACTGGCAAAAAAAAAAAAAATACTCTTCTCCTAGAGGAGTTTAGAATTTTTGCCTGTAGAGGCAACTAACGTTATCCTGTGTCCATACACAGTTTGTAGTCTAGGGGAGTTTTCTAAGCTCAGCGTTTAGAGGCAGAAACAAAGAAAAAAAAACCTTCTGTTTTGCATTTGAGAGTGTTTTTCTGGTAGGAAAAAAAAAAAAAAAAAAACTGCTAAACACTCATAAATGCTAGTACAAAAAACTCAAAATTAGTTTTTTTTTGTCTGCCAAAAGCACTAGCGTTTTTTCTTTGTTAAGCCAGTGTGCATGGAGCCTTAAAAGCCCCTTCCCTTTTCCATCCACCAGCCTAAAACTGATCTGTAGCTATTACAATGCCCAATTATGATGTGAAATGAATTTCACATCATACCTGGGATTTTATATTATGCTGCTTGAAGTTTCCTCCTGTAATATTTTTTAGTTACAGAAGGAGCACGACATAAGCTGCTGTCTTTTACAGCAGACTGCAACCAAGATTTGCCCAACTCTTTGGTAAAATAAAAAAACTTCTAGCCCTTTGGATGTTACTACACAGCCCCTAGTGCACAAGTATAGAAAAAAACAAGGATATTTGGCTCAAAGTTGGGACACGTCAAACTAGCAAAACCTTATGAGTTGCCTGCAGACTCACTTTGGTCCAGTTCATACTGGACCAGTTTAAGTGTGGTGCATATTCCATGCATTACTGTTGAATTCTATGTAACATATATTTTGATGAAAGCGCAACAAAGTTGCATAAAGCACACAACTAAATCACACTGGAGTGAACAGGGTCTAAGAGAGGTCTCTTGCCTGCCAAACCAGTGAAGTTTCGCTACTCTCTCACAGACAACCAAACTGCTGCATTTGAACCAGTGAAGTAGAGATGCTGTAGGAGCATGTGACTGCTGTTATTAGCAGCTTACCAGTGATACAATTACGATTATATGACCCCTATACTTTTCTAGGTATAGGTAGGAGTTGCAGTATCCAAAATATGCTAGATCTTACAGTAAAAAGGAGAGTCTGATACAGAATACAGTTTTTCTAGGCTAGGCAACTCTCATAGGAAGTACAGAACAAACAGGAGCACCAAACCACTGTTTAAAGCCAAATTCTAGGTTTATTTTCACTTTAAAATAGTTAGTTTGGTCAGGCTGGTCCCAACAAACTTTTTTTCTATTAATTGTTGCGGCTGCATAAACTGTTTGTATCAGCTATATACAGTGCTGTGTTCCGGCAACAGCACAGGGAATTCTCATCTGCTGTCGAAACAAAATCAATCCAGGCTGGGTGCTTCTCAGCCATTCACAAAAATCATTGTATTTTTATAAATGATTTCAAGGCTTCCTCTGGTTGGCAGAGGTGGAGAGGCAGGAGGATGACATGATCTCCACCTCAGCCAACCTTGTGTTCAATGATAAAAATACAAAGATTTCTGTGACTGAGAAGCACTCAGCCAAATTTTGTTCCAGCAGCAGACCAGAAGTCCCCATACTGCTGCCGGAACACAGTATTGTATATTGTATGTAGCTGATGCTACATATAGTTCATACAATGCTGTCAGCAGACGCATCAATTAATAAAGAAAATCTGGGCCAAATTAGGCAAATAAACTATTTAGAGTGAAAGTAAACCTGGAGTTCAAAATATGTTTGTTTATTTCCTCAAATATAAAAAATAGGCATTGGTTTTATAAGGAAATAAACAAACATACCTTTCTGGACGTGTGGTACTCATGTTTCTTCTGTATCCCCTTGCCAAACTTTGAGGGGACCCAGCAAGGGAGTAGAATCTGGCCCCACTATACCTGCTGTGAAGTTTTAGGTAGGTTTAAAAACACACACCATTAAGGAGATATCTCAATATAAAGTGGTTTTGTCTCCAGTAGTTTATAATAGAGATAATGATGTCAGACATAAAAAAGAAAAAAAAAAAAAAGTCTATAACTCAGACTTTAGACGTTCTGCCAAATCTTGCTGGTCAATGTGATCATTCTTTCCATACCACTGATGGTGAGATAAAAGAGCCACATTCTTGGCAGCGATGACACACATCTCAATGGCACTGGCTGCCCATTCAATACCATCCACGTAATAAATTGAGCGATGAAGTTCTATTGGTGGTATTTTCTCTGGTGGGCTGTATCTTGGATAAGCCAACCAATTTCTCACTTTAACTGCATCATAAGACTCAAACAGTTGATGCAACTGTTCATCAGTTAGGACTTCCGGAGAGAAGATTTTCCAGACTCTGAGACCTGAAGCCTTTGATGTGTCAGATTCTGGGACTGGATTGGCTGGAGACACGGCTGAAATACTGTGGATAAAAAGTTTGGGGTTATACGTAGTTAATACGTCTGACAGTGGAAAGTGACATGGTTTGGAGCATCCAAAGTAGGAAGTATTGATCCGTCCATGAACAAATGTGACCACCATCTGCTGGTAGGGTCCATACAAGGCTTCGATTGGTGGGTCAAAGCCCACAAACTCTATGTTACCAAGATTCTTGTTGAGTGGTGTTGCGATGACTACGATGTCATACAAGTCCAACCCAGGTCCTTTGTCTGTTACATAGCTTATTTCATACAGCTTCACTGTATTTCCTGCAATGCCACCCCCCAAAAAAAAAATTATATTAATAAAAACATATATACCAGATTGTTCATAACCTTAATGGACATAGCATAAATATTGTGGTGCACAAATGACAATAAAATTGAATAATGCAGGGTAAATCAATCTTCAAAGAATTTCCACCAAAATCCATGTGAAAAAGCGATCATATAGTGAAAAAGTTCAATCACCGCTACAATAGTGCACTTGAAACCATTGTTTCTTTTCAGTGATCCGATGTGAACCTCTTCCAACACTGCAGTAATGCTTGCAATTCTGCTAGCCTTATTATACCCTCCAAATTATAAGAGATTTAATTCCACCAAAGATCTGAACACCAACATTTCTGCAATATAATTCTCAATAGTGGCAAAGAAATCCTTCACAGCTTAATCTCAAATGTGTCCATAAAGTCCACTCCAACACATAGCAAAAGCAATATCATCACTGCTAGTGCTCTCTGAAAAGATCTTTATTACATTGAAAAACAAATGTACATACAAATAAAACACTTGTAAGCCAACAAAGTAATAGCACTTAGAACCTGGATCTGCTTCCTTAATGTTCGGGATGGGACAGAACAAACAAGCTGCCACTTAGAGGGTAAGCCGCATGCATGATGTCACTCTGCAACTCTGGTAACTCGTGCCCTGGCACATTGCGTCGATGGGAGGGTACTGCTTCAGAGGGCTCTCTGAAGAAGTCCCTTTCCAGGGATGCAATGTGTCAGAGCAGAGTTATGGAGTGATATCACGCATGCGGCTTACACTCTGTTCAGCGGCTCGTTTGCTCTGTCCCATCCCGATCATTAACGCAGTGGATGCAGATTTATTTTTTTATTGCGTGGACACATTTTTGTTTAAATTTACATATATTAATACTTAAAGTGCCTTGAAAAAGTATTCATAGCCCTTGAAATTTTCCACATTTTGTCATGTTACAACCAAAAACTTAAATGTATTTTATATGATAGACCAACACAAAGTGGCACATAATTGGGAAGTGGAAGGAAAATGATAAATGGATTTCAAACGTTTTTACAAATAAAATATGTGAAAAGTTTGGTGTGCATTTGTATTCAGCCCCCCCCGGAAACAATACTTTCTAGAACTACCTTTTTGCGGCAATTACAGCTGCAAGTCTTTTTGTGGATGTCTCTACTAGCTTTGCACATCTAGAGAGTGACATTTTTGCCCATTCATCTTTGCAAAAGAGCTCAAGCTCTGTCAGATTGGATGGAGAGTGTCTGTGAAGAGTAATTTTCAAGTCTTGCCACAGATTCTCAATTGGATTTAGGTCTGGACTTTGACTGGGACATTATAAACACATGAATATGCTTTGATCTAAACCATTCTATTGTAGTTCTGACTGTATGTTTAGGGTGGTTGCCCTGCTGGAAGGTGAACCTCTGCCCCAGTCTCTAATCTTTTGCAGACTCAAACAGGTTTCTTCTAAGATTGCCCTGTATTTGGCTCCATCCATCTTCCCATCAACTCTGACCAGCTTCCCTGTCCTTGCTGAAGAAAAGCATCCCCACAACATGATGCTGCCACCACCATGTTTCATGGTGGGGATGGTGTGCTCAGGGTGATGTGCAGTGTTAGTTTTCCGCCACACATCACGTTTTGTTTTTAGGCCAAAAAGTTAAATCTTGGTCTCATCTGACCAGAGCACCTTCTTCCACGTTTGCTGTGTCCCCCACATGGCTTCTCGCAAACCGCAAATGAGGCTTCTTATGGCTTTCTTCTTGCCACTCTTCCATAAAGGCCAGATTTGTGGAGTGCACGGCTAATAGTTGTCCTGTGGACAGATTATCCCACCTGAGCTGTGGATCTTTACAGCTCCTCCAGAGTTACCATGGGCCTCTTGGCTGCTTCTCTGATCAATGCTCTCCTTGCACGGCCTGGCAGTTTAGGTGGATGGCCATGTCTTGGTAGGTTTCAATTGTGCCATACTCTTTCCATTTTTGGATGATGGATTGAACAGTGGTCCATGTGATGTTCAAAGCTTGGGATTTTTGTTTTTGTTTTTTTAAACCTAACCCCGCTTTAAAACGTATCCACAACTTTATCCCTGACCTACCTGGTGTGTTCCTTGGCATTCATGATGCGGTTTGTTCAATAATGTTCTCTAACAAACCTCTGAGGGCTTCACAGAACAGCTGTATTTATACAGAGATTCAATTACACACAGGTGGACTCTATTTACTAATTAGGTGGCTTCTGAAGGTAATTGGTTCCACTAGATTTTAGATAGGGGTATCAGAGTAAAAGGGGGCTGAATACAATGCACACCACACTTTTCACATTTTTTTCTACAAAAAAAACTTTGTGAAGTGGAAGGAAAATGATAAATGGTTTTCAATCATGTGCCACTTTGTGTTGGTCTATCACATAAAATCCCAATAAAATAAATTTACATTTTTAGTTGTAACATGACAAAATGCGGACAATTTCAAGGGGTATGAACACTTTTCCAAGGTACTGTATATTAACTGACAAATGTAATAGCGATATCAAGTAGACTTTTTTGTGTGCAATATTTAAACATTTTCCCTTAATTTATGTAATGTATGCAACTATAGGGCTCTGTTTTTGGTTAATTAGGATCTGGAATACGGTGTATTAAACAGAATGTATTCCAGTAGTTGACAGGGTAGCAACTCTCAGACTGAGGGGCCTCTAACCTCTGACTCCTAGCTACTCATTCCAAGGCAAAGGAAATACAGCATTTATTAAAACTGTTATTACAAACCTACAATTTTACCAATTAAGAATAAATGTTCAGATCTATGGACAAGCCCATATGTGATAGGTTCTCTTGTACTTGTATCCATTACAAACTACAAAAAACATAAATCCTCATTTACAGAGAAGTCCTGTACTAAATGGGAATGGTCTACAGTGGGGAAAATTATTTGATCCCCTGCAGATTTTGTAAGTTTGCCCACTTACAAAGAAACAATTTTTATCATAGGTGTATTTTAAATGACAGGAACAGAATATCAACCAAAAATCCAGAAAAAACACAATCAAATGTTATAAATTGAGTTGCAGTTTAATGAGTAAAATAAGTATTTGATCATCAAGCAAAACATGACTTAGTACTTAGATCAAATTTTTTTTCCCACTGTAGCCATTAACTAAGTGATATTAGGTATGTGAGCATTTAAATCTCACTGATGGACTAGAACAGTCAGGGCAGTTCTTTCTGGACACTGGTATAATGAAATGGCTTTCTCTGCTAAAAGATTAAAAAACAGAAGTTTGTCTTTTTTCTTCTATCATACTTACCTAGGTGGATGCAGCATTGATTCGATGCTGCATCTGTCCCCCGCTGGCTCCAAGGGTGAGGACTGAACGATCAGACACCACCCTGCTGCTGTCTGTCAGGCATCGCTGTCTGCTCTGCCCCCCTAGAACTCACTGGAGCGCTGGGCTGTGGAGGGAGCAGGAGCCGCTGGCTCAGGCTCTAAGTGGCTCACTGAGAGGATGAGCCAGGTGCCGGTCCAGACATCTGGGTGGGTCAGGATCTTTCCCCAGCCTGGACCAGCTGAGAGCAGACTTTAGCCTGCGCTTGGCTGAAAACTGGTCACAGGAATGCAGAACAAATTGCACTCCTGTGATATACAGGAGAATTACAGCCAAACAAGCTTTGATTCTAATTCTCCTTTACCCCTTTCCCTGCCAGCTCTATATCCTGTACGGACCTGAAAGCAAGGATTTTACAAACATTCCCCAGTGGCCGATTGAAGCACACTCTGTCAGATGGAAGCATTCTGGCTGCTGCACTGCCTTCAGATTGCTTCCACACACCTAGCATATGTGAGCCATGTATCCCGGACTCTGCTTGCCCATCTTCAGGCCCAGGACCAGCATAGCAGGTGCTGCCGGTTAGTGGCAGAGAGCAGAGCAGACACACTGCTCTCTTCCCCTCATTATTGCTGACCTGGAAGCAACGTGTTTCATGCAACGTCTGGGTTCCCCTGTCAGTGTTCCCGGTCGGGAAAAAAAAATCTAATGCAGTGCGATCTGCACTGCATTAGATTCAGTGGAGCACATGGGACAATTAAAGTTACACCCAAGCACATAAAATCCCCCCCACATTTTTGTGCCCCCACCCCGACATATAAGCACAAACACAAAACGCATGCGTCGGGTGCACCTATGCATGAAAATGCTGATTACTAAACATGTTACATATCGTCGTGCATGCCGCAGCAAGAGCAATATTTCTAGCACCAGATCTCCACAGTAACGCTAAACTGATGACCTATAGGGGGCTTTTAAAACGTCACCTATGGAAAATATTGAGTACTGAAGTTGTCGCCATTTCATGGGGACGGTTTGACAAGTTGGTTATCCATTTACATTTGCAACCTCATCTTTTATATTTTACCATATAATTTGATCATTTGCGTGCCCTAAAATTGATATGTGCAGTGATTTTGTGTGACATAAAAAATTGGATCTACCACTATTTTATTCTCTAGGGTGTCTGCTTTCAGAAAATATATGTTTTGGGCATTTTATGTCACTTTGAGCACTAAAATGATTTTTTTTAAACGTCCAAAAATTCTCCGGCAGTGAAAAAGCAGTATTAAACTAAAAGCCAAAAATGTAATATATTGCAGCTTACCAATCAGTGGTGGTGGCTGCATCCGTTTTTTTTTTTTCCTTAGGCATTTTCCTTTTGTTTTCACCTGGTGATCTGACCAGTAACACACTGCCTGTTTAAGCATGCCCCCACCCTGGATGAAGGAGCACAGGGACACAGCAGACCGCAGCATTGTTAATCTGGATAGGGAGGGAAGGAGGGGGGGGGGGGGGGGGGGAGAGTGTTAGATGTACTAGCAGATTTAAAGTCGAACTCAAAGCTTTTGGCACACATTTACTATGTCCCCCACTAACATGTGAGGGTGCATACATTATACAGCACTGTGTTCCGGTGCAAGCCAAGACCTTACTGCCTCAGACCCAGAACACAATAGAGTCTGTCTGAGAGGCGTTCAGCCACTCATAGAAAGCAATTAATTCTATCAATGAATACAAAGCTTCCTCTGATTGGCTGCCTCCGAGAGGAGGGCTGATGATGTCAGCCAATCAGAGGAAGCTTTGTATTAATTGATAGAATACATCGCTTTCTATGAGTGGCTGAGCACTGATCAGACAGAATATCGTATTCTGGGGCTTAGACTGGAAAGTCTCGACCAGCTCCAGAACACAGTGCTTTATGTAGCCTCAGCTACATACAGTTTCTACAGCACATCCAGCGGACTCACATTAGTGAGGGACATGGTTTGTTTGGGCCAGCCTGACCCAAACAAACTATGTATAGTGTACCAAAAGCTGAAGTTCAACTTTAAAGATTACTAATAAAAACTGAAGCCAAACTGCAGCTCACACTGCAGTTACAGCAAGTTTTTTTTTCCTTTTGGGATAAAGATTTTATTAAAACAGGCTGATCATTGTAAGCACCCATGCCAGTGGTAAATGGTTTGTCTCAATCCTCTTAACTGATACATTTGTAGGACAGCTTGTTCTTTTGGGGAAAAAAAAAAAAGAAGACGACTTACCAACCAGATCACCAAGTGAAAATAAAATAAAGCCTAGAAACAAACAAAAAAAAAAAAAACCTAATACAGCCACCACATGCAAGAATTGGTAAGCTGCAATATAATAAATTATTGCTTTTAGGTTTAATACCACTTTAAGATTGTTTTAGGCCGTTTCCACACCTGATTTACGCTTATGGGTTTCATATTCACTTGTTAACTGACCACAGACATTAGAGTGTAGTTGGACACGTGACGGTTTTGTGTATTGTCACGTAACATGCACAATTAGATCACCCATGCATGTATACTGATTGCTATGTAGGTGCATAGGGAAACAAAACTTACCTCCAGCACTTATCTTCTCAGGGTTTCCTTGGGAAATTGGCAAGCACCTAAAAATCTAACAGCTATTCGCTACACCCCAAGATCAGTAATTTAGGACATGTCTATTAACATAGGTATTCTTTCCTGTCACGTGAGGAGGACAATATCAAAACTTTCTTGAGCTCCAGCACCATTTGTCACAGAGCTTACATTGCACAGGGTCTGGGCTGAACACCACAACAAAGAGCAGTCAAGGCGAATACAAGTGACTCGAGAAGTGGGGCAGAGGCATTAGTGCTTGATTTTGTCAATTTGCTCTAACAGGGCAAAATAAAAGAACCTCTTTAATGATAAGGGTAATGATTTCAACTAAATAATATTTGTGCTGGCTTATAATTATAGCAAGTGTATAGTATATCACAAATTAAAAACTGGACCTGTACTTGTCATGTGCACGATCGAAGTAAAAGAGAACAATATTTTACTCTCAGGCCAGGGATTAGGGGTCACTGGGACATAGAATTACACGTTTGTAGCATTTATGATTTCATGCCAGCTTGCGATAACATGGACAATATTGAAGTATAAAGCAGATGAACAGATTTATCTGAATTATGTGGATTTGAAAACATGCCAGTCACACTCACCAGGCTTTGTAGAGTGAACTTTCTCCTGCACAGACGTGACAGTGCCCTGAATTAGCTGTGCTTTTGCAGCATGTAGCAGGCCACTGCAAACCAGTTTATTACCACCAGCCACTGCCCACAGTCCAGAGTCAGTCCAAGCATAAGAGATAGCACCTAGGAAAAAAAAAAAAAAAATGGTGAACCATGAACAGTGACAGAAGAGTAACATTGGGCTCACACAATCTTTCATGGCTCAGACCTGTAGGCACCTTCATTAACAAAGGATATGTACAGTCAGAAAGGTGTACATCTACCTAGAATTCAAAGACAACCAAACTAAAATAGCACCCCCAAGCCAAAGATGTTGTCCTCCCATAAAATTCTGTCCATCTGTCTCGGATTCCAGCCCTGAATGGAATGCATTCACCTAGAAAAAGCAATTGAATATATCTCATATATATAATGTATGTATGTATGTATGTATGTATATGTCTATCTCAATATCAGGATGATGTCAAAGATCATGCATACTCATTCCAGGTCAATTACTTTATCCTAGTTGTAATCTTACAGCTGCAGGGAACGGTGTTTTATTAGCACGGTGCAACCAGCCACTACTCTTTCACTTACTTCCAAGTACCACAATAACACACACATACAAAAATAAATCAATTCAGACTGGTTAAATTATTAGTTGTAATACTATTCTTAAAAACCGCTAATTTATTCAGAGAAGTGGCACAACCCTCTTCCGCCCACCCTTTGTAAGTCAGATTTTGAAGTTCAGCAACAATCTGAAAACCAAAACAGCTTCTGTTCTGCATTCCCCTTACAAAACCCAATATTTCCAGATGACAACGGGTGCTGCCTTTAGTAAATGTTTATTTGTAAAACTTTAAAAAGTGTTTAAAAATTATTAGCTTTTAAAATGTAGAATTGTATACAAAACAATTAGAATTTCCCTTTCGCCATATCAGTCAAGGAAAACATTTCAGTCAACTGTCCCTACTTCACATCTCTCTAGCTTTGTACAGACAACAATCAGAAAAATCCTTCAGCAGCAGCGCAGTTTCTCACCAACAAAGCCATTAACATCAACTCCTTGCCCATAGTTGAATCTCATAGCTGGAACCACCATGTCATCAATAAACTTCTTTGTGAAGCCAGACTTCTGCATTACTTCATCTATGGTCATGTTCAGCATTGATGTGAAGTCATCCCCACCCATAGCATACAGTAAAGATTCCGTGGTGGAGAAAGAATAATCAAACTTCTGGTAGCGGTAAATCCTGCCAACAATAGGAAAAAAAAAAAAAAAAAAACTTGGTGAAGATGATGCTATAACCAATCACATTTTACTTCTAGGAGCTGGAGGAAAAAAAAAAAAAAAAAAAAAAAAGCTGTGACAATTTTACCATTAAAACAGCCTTAAAGGGTAACATGTGATGACAGAAACATGGAGGCTGTCACTGTTCACCCAGCCTTCTGAAAATGTCATGCAGGTTCTCTTGGTTCAAAAATTAGATCAAAATTACCCAGAACAAATATGTAGATGATGACTTTTCTATGACTTTACTAATCTGCATACTTTTCTGGGTCAATGACAAAGTACTGAATCTGATGTTTCAGCATAGCAGCCAGTCAATCATTTGCCCATTTCCAGGAGTACCGGTTATGTCAGTCTGCCTCCCATGGGGGCACCTGGAGAGCAAAGCAAGGTATGTATAGACAGCTGCAGGTGGGGTCGACACTGAAGTGAACATTGTGTGAGAAAAAGGTGCAGTACTATGCTTTTAAAATCATGTGTTAATAAACATTAAAACCAAATCACTTCCTTTGTTGTGTAAATAGATTTAAACAAGCATGTAGAGATCATGTGTCTAAATCTATAAGGTTTATGCTATTCCTGTGATCTTTTTATTTTCACATCTGTTATACAAATTCAAAAAAGTACAAAAAGATAATGAACAAGATACAAATTACAAACTATTCCAATCAAAGAGTGTAGCCACATTGGATGATAAAGGAGTATTACAAGTCATCACATTACAGTTTCCATCAAACATTGTACAACAGATAAACAGAGAAGGTACAAAGAATGTTAAGTAAGAGTAACCACAGCCAGGTGATTGCATCACAATATCCATTGCAGTTACACAGTAGGTATAATAACTAGGTGAACAGTTCATCAATAGATGGACCAATACAGAGTAAGAGGGGACCATACCAGGGAAAGATAACCACAGGGACCACAATTTAACGCATTTTTTAAGACTCTTAAATAGAGTAGAAGGTATGTTTAAGAGTCAATATTTCCCTTTCTAGATTATTGTTTACTACATCTTTCCATTGTGCAACAATGGAGGAGTGGGAGACATCCATTTCTGTGCAAGTAATATACAGGCACGAAACAACAATCTTATAAGTAATAAGTGGGATAGAACAGGGACTAAAGCTTCAGGAAAAAATTATTAAAAGTGTGATTTTAGGGTCTAGAAAGGTAATTGAAGAGAACAGATAGCATTTATTGTTTGAAATATGGATGACCAACATCAAAATAAATGTAGGGAACGTCCATCTGTGCTCGCCGCTCGCGAATTTCTCCTCGCATTTGCGAGCAGCTTTTTCAAGCCCTGCTCTTGGTATTGGTGTCAGTGAATGCAATAGTCTCGAGCATTGGTGTCTATACTATTAATCGCCCTCACATTGATGGTCAGTAGCAGTGAAATTAAACCCCCCATATTGGTGGTCAGGGACTATGAAAGAGAACACCCCCCTCCTACAAGTGGGCCTGGCAGTGAAATTTAACCCCCACCATATTGGTTGGGACTTTATTTCTTTGTTTGTCTCTGCTTTATGGGTGCATGCAGTTTTAATACTTGACAAGTTTGATATCCATTTACAGGACAAAACCTTAATCTTTGTTTAATATATTGTACTTGTGAGCACTAAAATAAACTTTAGAGTATGTTTTTTTTTACTGAAAATATGTATTTGATAAACCATTGCTCTAGCATCATGTGACCTAACAAATTAAAAACGGCCACCATTTTATTCTCCAGGGTCTCTGCTTTAAAGGAAATATTTACTGTATTCGGGGTATTAAGCAATCTTATGGCCTAAAATGTGCATTTTAAACCGTGCAATAAAAATCAGGATCTGGCAGCAAAGGGCAAAATGGCATTACATGACACGCAGAGGTAAGTAGTATTCCAGTTTCAGAGGGGAGTACAGTGTCCTTAATCAGAGGCAAAGATACAGCAGAGGAAGATGGCAAAGGATAGGAGGGGTTTAGCTCCTCTTTAACCTTTATACTGCCAGAGCCCCCCTCCCCTCCATTACTTTCACACAATCATTACTATTATTACACAGAATTTATATAGCACCAACAGTCTGATACATAGTTTTACAATATAAAAAAGGGAGATAGTACAACAATACAACTCAATAAAAGAGGGTTAGGAGGGCCCTGCTCCTGGGAGCTTACAATCTAATGGGGAGGGGGGGGGGGGGGGGACTGGAAAAAAAAGGTAATAACTGAAGGATGAACTGAAAAGTACCTAAAACTGGACAGAGTAGGAAATAGCAGAACAGATTTGGGTAGGGAGCTCCAGTGGATACGAGAGGCTCTTGAGAAATCCCGGAGAAGAGCATGTAGGGAGGAGACCAGAGAGCTAAAGAGCAGACGGTCTTGGGAGAAGCGGAGAGGCTGGTTTGGGTGTTATTTGGAGATGAAATGCTGTGATGTAGCTTGGGGCAGAGTTGTAAATGGCTTTGTATGTTGTTGTGAATATTTTGAATTTTATTTGTTAGGCAATCGGAAGCCAGTGGAGGGATTGGCAGAGAGGGATGGTGGACACTGAGCGGCTGGTAAGTTGCAGGAGTCTGTCAGTAGCATTCATGATAGCCTTAAGGGGGGATAGTCTGCATAGAGGTAGGCCTGTAAGAAGGGAGTTACAATAGTTAAGGTGAGAGATAAGGGAATTAATGAGTAGCTTAGTGATTTCAACATTTATTTTGGAGATGTTACGAAGGTGAAGCGTTTGGAGAGTGATTGGATAGGGGCCTGAAAGGACAGGTCAGAGTCCAGGATAAGACCTAGTACCCTGGCATGAGGAGCGGGACAGATAGTTGAACTATTGATCTTCATGGAAAAGCTCAGTTTTAGAAAGACTGAGTTTGAGGAAGTGACGTGACATCCATGCAGATATGTCAGATAGTAAGTTAGCAGAGCAAAAGGAGACTGAAGGAGTGAAGTGAAGAGTAGAGAGATAGATTTGGTAGATAGAGATGGTTCTGGAAGCAGTGTGAGTTTACCAAATGACCAAGGGAGGAGTTGTAGATGGAGAAGGGGCCCGAAAAGGACAGAACCTTGGGGGACCCTACAAAAAAGAGGAAGTAGAGAGGAGGAGACAGAGTTAGAGGCAAAACTGAAGGAGAGCTGTGATAGGTAGGAAGAGAACCAGGAAGGAGCAGAGTCTTGGAGGCCAATAGAATGGAGTTTTTTTGAGGAGGGGGATGTTCAACAGTATCAAAAAGGCAGCAGAAAGAGCTAATAGCATGAATAGGAGTAGTGGCCCTTTTTTTAAGCAGTTATTAAATCATCAGCGAGTTTTGGTGGGCAGTTTCAGTGGAGTGAGCGAAAGTCAGACTGTAAGAGGTCAAGAAGGTTGTTATCATTGAGGTAGGAGCTCAAATGGTTGTAGACCAAGTGTTCTAGAAGTTTGGAGGTAAATGTGAACAAGGAGATGAGGTCTTACGTTGGTCAGGCTGGTGGGGTCCAGCGAGTGCTTTTTAAGTATGGGGGAGGGAGAGATTGAAGACATGAGTGAGGAAGCATAGGATAGAGGAAGAGGGTGACCGTAGTAGTTGTGAGGGAACGGGTCCAGCGGACAGGTGGTAAGGTGGGCATGTTAAATGGTACAGCCATCTGTGCAGTGGAGATGTCCCCACAAATTACATCAATCTTGTTTTTCAAGTGATTGGCAATCTCATGAGCAATAAGTGAGTTACTAGATGGAGGTGGTGATGGAGAACGCAGAGAGTTAAAAGTAGAGAAGAGATGACGAGGACTGGATGACAGGGTTAATGACAGTGATGAAGCTGGCTTGTTTAGCAGCATGGAGGAAGGAATTGTATTTTAGGAAGGCAGACCTAAATAGGGTGAATTCTTGTTGGGATTTGGTTTTATGTCACAATTGCTCCAGTGCACGGCTAGGTCTCTTGAGATTTCTGGTGTCATCAATTTGCCAAGGTTGTAATGGTCAGGGTTCTGAATCTGCATGTAGTAAGGGGAACAAGTGTGTCTGATGAAGAGACAGTGAATGGCTGTAGACAGAAGAGGCCAGGGCAGGGCAGAAAAGGGGTAAGATTTTATCAAAAGAGGATGTCTGTAGAAGAATAGAGAAGAGAAGGGATCAAGTGGCAATGTTTTCTGGGAGTAATTTTTACTGCTTGGCGGGACTGGTGGTTGGAGACAGGGACACTGTGAAACGAATGAGGTTGTGATCAGAGAAAAGAAAGCAAGTGTTTGTGAGGTTGTAGGGAGTGCAAAAAAATGGGCAAAAACAGGGTCATGGGTGTTATCATCAAAGTGAGTGGAGGACTGTGTCCATCATGTTAGGTCAAAAGATGAAGTTAGTTGAAAAGTTGAGATGTAGCCAGACTGTTACCATTAATGGGGATGTTAAAGTCACCAAGAATGTTAGTGGGTATTTCAGAAGACAGAAAGTGGGGTAGCCAGGCATAGAAGTCATCAAGGAAATGTGACTCCCGTCCAGGAGGCTGATCACTGCAATCCTTAAGAGAAATTAGAGAAAACAGACTCTCTTCTGAAAAGAGAATAGAGAAGGAGTTGTAGGAAGTATTTGTATAGGAGGTGATGAGTGCAGTAGTAGGGAGAGGGTAGAGGTGAGGGAGATATACAGTTTAAAAAAGAGCTTAGATCATTTACCATAATGACTGCAGAGTGTCAGTATGTAGCATTGAGATGGTTAAATGGATTTTATAGGCTCCTTTAAGGTTAGGGACTGATGTGAATGTACAATATACAGGTGAAACTCAAAAAATTAGAATATCGTGCAAAAGTTCATTTATTTCAGTAATGCAACCTAAAAGGTGAAACTAATATATGAAATAGACTAAGTACATGCAAAGCAAGATAGTTCAAGCCGTGATTTGTCATAATTGTGATGATTATGGCTTACAGCTCATGAAAACCCCAAATCCACAATCTCAGAAAATTAGAATATTGTGAAAAGGTGCAATATTCTAGGCTCAAAGTGTCCCA